AGAGACAAACGTAACGAACGAAAGCAAGAAAAGAAAAACAAAAAGTAAATGGACGAACGAAAGAAAGAAAGAAAGAAAGAAAGAAAGAAAGAAAGAACAAAGAAAGAAAGAAAGAAAAAAAAACAGAACGAAAGAAAGAACGAAAGATAGAAATAAATCTAATTTCTTCTGGACAAGACTCCAATTATTGGGCACCATTCTTGATGTGGTTAGAACTAAAACATCAGCAGTCTCACTTTGGATTGCTGTTCATTTTAAATGGTCATCAATTTTCTTCTAAAACTAAATTTCTTATTAAATGTCTATTCATATGAACTAATATTACTTTTTTGTTTACTGATACGTACACCCAGTTATTAGTCACTCAGTGAAGATCGCTATGGTTTGCAAGCTTTCTGTATCAAAAGTTGCTCTACGGCAGGTTTCACATAAAAAAAAAAAAACTTCTTAAAATGTATTATGTTCCTCACAGAGATTTTATTGAAAGTACAATATCACAATATCATTTCTTTAAGTTTGTTGGTTCGTTAACCAGCATCTTTGGTCATATTTTCTTACAGATATATATATATATATTTTTTATTTTTTATTTTTTTTGAGTTAACATGCCGTTTTCTCTCTCTTTCTTGTTTCTTTCTTTTTTTATTTCGTTCGTCTAATTTTATTTTATGTTTCTGTTTTCTTATATTCCATCTGTATTTTTATTTACCCTTTTTTTCCGTTATCTGAATCCCTGGTTAGATTTTGATGGAACCAATTCCTTCCTGATTAGTAGATTTGTCATCATCGGTTTCCATTTATTTATCAATGAGTCACCTATAACTGAAGATAGTCGCTTTCCTCCGGCTTTACGATGAAATCAGCTACACTTACAATATATACACATATAGTTGCCGTAAATTCGTCATTAGGATACTGGTCATAGTTTGATGACTAAAGCAACCTTGTTTATCTCTCATCGAGAAAAGAAATTTACATTTAATTTCCATTTAGCTGACATAGCTATTTTAATCGACAAAATATTTACTTGCATTATTTACATTATGCAGACTGTTATCCTCATCTCTATTGCCATATCCACATCGTTTCAGCCGTTGTAAACTCCGGCCTTCTTCAAGTGACTGGAATTTTTCTTCATTACCTGTCTATATCTCTGAGATGAGGTATTATGATTACTTGCATTATTTACTTGATTCGGACTGTTATCTTTATCTTCATTGCCATATTCACAACGTTTCAGTCCTTGTACGCTCCGGGCTTCTTCAGGTGATTGGAATTTTTCTTCATTATCTGTTTATATCTCTGAGATGAGGTATTATGATGAGTTACATTATTTACATTATTCGGATTGTTATCCTCACCTTCATTGTCATATCCACAACGTTTCAGCCGTTGTACACTCCGGCCTTTTTCAAGTGACTGAAATTTTTCTTCATTACCTGTCTATATTCTGAGGTGAGGTATTATGAGTACTTACATTATTTACATTATTTGGATCGTTGTCCTCGTCTTCATTGCCATATTCACAACGTTTCAACCTTTGTATGCTCCATTTTTTTAAATGTCCTCTCTCAGTAAGGGAAGTTGATTTTTTATGTCGTTTAGAAAACCAATATTGCACTCAATGTAAAAGCTGCAGTTTAATCTGCTATGTACTGACATCAAAGAGTACCTTCATATCTTGCACCAATTTTTGAGCATTTAGTTTTAGAATTGTCTAAAAAATTTACAGAAATACCTAATGTTTGCAGGTTTTTGATTATACTGAACAACCTCGGTTCTCGAACGTCTTACGTATCGAAAAAATCGGTTTTCGAACAGAATATTTGAGAAGAAAATACCTCGGTTATGAAACAAAATTTCGGTTCTCGAACAACATTGCCGAACGGAGCCGAACCGAGCCGTCCGAGTTAACCCGAACGGAATCATTTCTTAATCGACCGCTGTGTTGTTAACATTCCTGTGTTGTTCAGTACTTTTCTCTTCCAATTTTATTTTGCTCTGCTTTTTTTCTCTCTCTTTATTAGTCCTTAGTCATGGCTCCAAATAAAGCTATCAGTGATACTGGTAAAGGAGAAAATTAAGAGAAAAACAATTATTGATGACTAGCAGCATGGCCCGGCGTTGCTCGTGCTTGATTAAAAAATTGTACGACTCATACAGCAATCGCTATCACTTGACTTAAAATATTTTTGCTCTTCCTTGCCTTTAAAGAAGTGCCCTTTGCCGTGCTGATGTTGCTACATGCCTTACTTCTTGCCTATCTCACACAGCGAATTTTTTCTAAGCTCTATACTAAACATTAAATCTGTTACGAAAAAAGAACTGAACAAAATGAACACAAAACGATCAACTTTAAAAAAGGACTCGTAACTGGAAAAACCGAATGAAAAAAGAATGTTAACAACAAATACATTTTCACACCCAACCCAGTTGTGCGGAATCAGAATCAACGTTGAGTTTAAGCAAGTGAATGAGCCAATTGGAGTAAAGTGCCATGCAGATTTAAATTTTTCCCACTTGTGACGAATGCAGCTATCGATTTTTTTTGCATGCTAGCATGCTAGTTAACATTCGTGTCAGTCAGCTGTTGGCTCTCACGCTGGCCAATAGAATCTTCCTGCCTATTCGTGGCAGCCAGCCATTGGCTCTCACTCTGGCCAGTAGAAAATGGCCACAAACTACATGAAAACTGCCGTAGAAGCATGAAAAAAATCGATTATTTCCACTATCGATGGGAGTTGGGAAATGGAAAGTCGGTCTTGGCGTTCCCGCTAACTTGGAGCATGTGCATGTACATTTTGGTGCAAATCCGTCGAAAATTGCGGCCGGGTATTCGTTACACACACACACACACACACACACACACACACACACACACATCCTGCCTTTTATAGATAGAGATATTGTGTCTTCCGATCCAGTTTCATAAGGCAAAATCAACGATCGATACTATTCTTATAACTAAAGAGACGATCATGTCTTTCCTCCCCCTTCATTTTACGTCATCAGCTCTCCTACTTACAGGTATGATAAAATTGAAGTGCCCGTGTATATTTTATCTGTTTAGTATTGGGTTTATTTATTTTTCTTAGATTTAATATTTTCATTAGTTTTGTGTATGAACTTGTGCACAAAGTACTGTTAAAATTTAAATATGCAATTGTTATGCATTTTACATTGATTCCTATTGGAAGAATAATTTCGGTTTACAAATATTTCGAGTTACGAACGGGCTTCAGGAACGAATTAAATTCGTGAACCGAGGTTTCACTGTAAACTGATTTCAAATTTTACTATTTCAAGAATAAATCCAAATAAAGTTGATATCTTTTATATTAGATATATTAAATGGAAGTTGATATTTTTTATATTAGATATATTAAATGGAAGTTGATATCTTTTATATTAGATATATTAAATGGAAAATATTTCAATCTAGAATTCTGATTACGAATCACCACAAGCAAAATATACTATTTTTTTCAATAAGTAAAACTGTAAAGCTACTCAATAAATAAGACCTGTTCGGCCATTTGTTGATCATAATTAATAAAAAACAAAAAAGTAGATACAGTGTGTATATAACACTGTAATACTGCTAGGTATATATAAGACAAAATGTTTTAAATTTGCACATTTTATTGAAAATCACACAAACAAATACTGTATTGTATAACCTATTACATCCTAATATAGCTAAAATGTTCAGTAGAATTTCCCTATGAAGTAAATGATAGCCTTATTTGATGGCACAATGATTTAGTAATAATGTGCTTGTGCCATGTATCTTGGCCATATACAATTTTTAAAGTGTAAAGAAATTATAAATTTAATAAGGTTATACTTTAAGGCTTTTACTGATCACCGGAAGTAAATTCCAACGCTACCATTTTGAACCTGAAAATAATCTTTAAACTCGTTTCCTCAAAAAACGGTAACGACTTTGAAAACATATTTTGCGTCGTTATTTATCATCTGAAACCCCAACTTTCAAATTGAGTGCAATACCACGTTTTCAACGTCGACCTGGCCTACTCCCTCGGTTCTTTTCACTTGCCTTTATTATATGTTACTCAAGCTAAATATGTAATAAAAATGTGGGCAAAAAGAAATAATCCAATGAAAAATATATTTTAATAAAACCTTAGATAAAGTGAGGGAAGAGACATGTTCTTCTCAATACATTGAGAAGCAAAGGACCACAACTTCACCACGCTAGTATATTTAGCCCCCCCCCTGCCTTCCACGAGGGTTGCATGTGGCACAAGGCCGGGTTTAATGTGGGTTCTCCGAGCACGTAGGCTCGACCAAAAAATGCCCTTAGGAGTCGGATAACGGGATCGGATTGATCAACCTCCCCGAACAAGACTCTTCCCTTCGGCTGAGCCTCGTCCGGGTTCCTCTCTGCTCAGAGGCAGAAAGTTCGACCGTCTAGTCGAAAAGATTTCGGTTAGTCACCACACTAGTGGTACAGTCGTGGTTTCCTTAGTTAGTAGGCTTTTTTTCAGTGTGTAGGTGTTAGCCCCTGGTCCAACAATTTGGAATTCAGAATAATCCTTCTCTAGGATAGGTTGCCAAGCAAAGCTAGAAGGTCATGTTTGAGCTGCTATTTAACCCATAGACGGGAGTTAATTAAAGAAGTAATGTGAAGACAATTTTCGAAAGCAAGATGATTACGGATTGGAAAGTCGAAAGTACAAGTTATGCCCCTTTTCGCAAAGAACTCACACCTTAACGATTGAAATATAGCTGATATTAAAATGCTTCATAATGATTAGCGATTTCTCATAAAGTTTACTGAGTTAATTAATAAAGGAATTTTAAAATCTCTTGTTATATTGGTGTTAGTTCGTTTCAAACATCGTCGTTGCCATTGTTATATTCCGTGGTAAGTGAATAAACACATAACACCAGGTGGATGCTAGAAGAAAGGTTTATTGTACACAAGTACAATATGAAATACTGTACAGTTATACACACTGGTCAATCTAGTAGTGAGTGTCACTAGTTGGTAGGTCGGAGGTGCTTGCGTCGTCTCGCTCACTCATCCTCTCTGTGTCCTTGAGTCTCTTGTAGACAGTGGACTTTATAAGTACTTACTACCTATAGTGTAATCATTCATGGGAATGACTGGTTATTCCATTACATCAGTGCAATACCACGCTTTCAAAATCGACCTGGCCTACTCTCGGTTACTTTCACTCTCAGTAAACCCCTTGCGTCTTAGTGGCATTATAGCCTTGCTTGGGGTGAAATTTAAAAGGGAATCTATAATTTCAGAGACTAGTTATCTTTTAAATTTTTACCCCCTATGAAGATACTCTGGGTTTCTCTCAGAGAAATAGTGGACAAATTTTTATTCAAGAACCATTGACGTCTGTGTCTGCATCAAAGCCATTTATCGACAAAATTTATTTGTACAACTATTTTATCTGTAGGCACATTTTTATATCTAAATGTCTGTTGTAACTTTGCGTCGTTTATGCACAAATATATTTCTAATTACCAGTCATTTCTAAATAGGTTTTATTTATATTTTTTATTTTAGACGTTTCAAGCCAAGCAAGGCAATAATGCCACTAAGACGAAAGTGGTTACAGGGACCGAAAGAGAATGAGAAAACTTTAATGAGGAGAAAGAACTGGAAGGATTAAAAAGACAGAATATGTCGGTGTCTAACAGCCGAATGGTGCTGAAACTCAGGTTCTTGTACGATCACCGAAGTTAAGCAGAGTCGAATGTTGTTAGTACGTAAATGGGTGACCACTTGGTAAAATTGGTTGAAGTGCGGGTGGTATAATGGATAATGGATCGGAAGTGTTAATCGGAGAGCCCAAGTAGGAATAAATACATTTGGTCGTGGTAACAAGAAGATAGAAGAATTGCCATGAAAACATATATAGAAAAGACAGAGGGAAGCCACTTCAGGGAGGTGGTAAAGTGATTGAAGTCGAGATGCCAGGTCAGGACCGATAACATTACAGACACTTCTTTGGATTTTGGTAAGAATCTTGAGATATATACCAAGAAGTAATATACAATGCACGGAATAATGGTTGATTTAAAAATGTGTAAGTTAGATTCAGAGACAAAAAATGTTTCATATTTATGTGGCGCATTGAGATGTAAATTAGATGCACGGAATTGTTTAGATTAATACTGATAAAATTAGAATGTTAATGGCGTCGATGGCACACAAATGATCTCGAAGGTTATCGTGTACAATATTCAATTTCAAGATGGTATTACACACTGAAATGGATAGATAGAAGTAAAAAGTAATAGACAGATAAGAACAAGAAAAACTATATATATATATATATATCAAGTGTGTGGGGCAGTTCAATTTACATTACATGTAATGTAAATTGATCTGCACCACATACTTGATATTAAAATAACTGATCCGACGTGCAACTTTCGGATAATAACTGCGACATTCCTCTATTTATTGAACAATTTAGTTCATTCCACATTGACTGAAAAACCTACCAGTACAAAAGAATTCTCCTATTACCATATTAGTACAAAAACGCACAATCTTAAAACTTAAAAATTCAACCTTAGCGTTGCGACCGCACGTTCCAAAATTTCTTAAAAAAATAACAATAACACATTTCTAAAAACATATTTCGGATTACATCTATTCTTTCGTTGTTCTGTTATTACCGGGATATAAAAAACAAATCTATTTCCATACCTGATGATGTCTGTATGCACAGATGAAAGCTTGTAAAAAGAAAAAAAAAAGATCTTATGTAACTGGAATTTATAAACAGGGATCATAACCTTCATCTACAGGTTCGGGGTTAATGTAGTTTATTAAATTTGTTTGCGAAGATGGATTTTCGCCATTTATATCATTAACTTCAATATCTGTTTTTTGTATGAATGATTCATGTAATATATATATATATATATATATGTGTGTGTGTGTGTGTGTGTGTGTGTGTGTGTGTAGAGAGAGCGAGAGAGAGAGAGAGATAAGAATAAGATGTTAAGTTTCGGTTAGAGCTGATACTGGGGGTTCCTGCCAGATGTCCCTCCAAACTCTCCCAATTGGCTGAGGTTTGCTAGGATGAGTGGGTAAAAATCCCCAACGCTAGATGCGAGAGGATGATCAGTGGCTACAAAAGAACTTTGCTCGAAATAATCGCTACCAAAAAAACTTCTGACTAAAAGGATTCACATAAATAAATTCCTTTTTTAAATAAATGATTAATTATTAATTAATAATTAATTAATAATTGAAATGCATTCTTTTTTGTTTGTGTTCATTATTTAGAAAGTCTACTTTAAAAATTGCTGTTTAGATGCACATTTACTATTCAATTAGTTCACAATAAAAATGACCATGGCTGGGTGTGGATATATATGTATATACGTGTGTGTCTACGTGTATGGAAATAGATAGATAGATAGATAGATAGAAAGAAAGAAAGAGAGGGAGAAATAGAAAGAGAGAGATAAATAAATATGCAAACAGGAGGAGATATACTGAAATAGTTATAAACTCATTGAGATTTGAAGATATGAACAGTCAGATAGATAGATAGATATTAACAGAATGATATAGAAAAGAACAGGCGAAAATGAACATATATGTGTCTGTTTATGTGTGTAGACATATGAATATATATATATATATATATATATATATATATATAATTAGTTATTTAAAAATTATAACATAAATATGTTATAAAATCACTACAAAAATAGCCATTTTGTTTCAACACCTCCGGTGTCTTATCAAGTGATGATGTTGAATGTAAAATAAAGGGTTTTAAAAGTTTCAAGTTAATTAACGATCCTTCGCAAGGGGAAAACGTTGTTCCAAAAGCTAGAATGACCAATCAAAATACGAGTATAGGAGAATTAAAAAACCTTGACAATGAACTAAGTTTATAATAGCTATTAAGAGCTTTAGAGTTGGGGTTATACTAAAATAGAATTTATTCTAACCAATAAGTATTAAATTATATGATAAAATTTGATATTAAAATTAAAAGTAAAAAATTAACAATTTTAAAATTTAAATTTAATCTCTATTAACTTTAAAATTATGAAATTACTGAGGAGAAAAGAAAAAAATACATATGTTATTCCATTTATTTCTTCATTGAAATTACGTTAGAATAGACGCTAATATCAGCTGGTCTTCCCGACAAATATATACATTTTAATCCCGAGTGTGTGAGTGGGGTGCTAAGCTCTTGCGTAAAGCAATACAAACACACTCAGATTATAATACATAAGCATCCAGACATATTTAGATATAGACACACGCAAAAATGTGACGAGACAGAAAACATCTCCACGGACCTTTATAAAAAAAACAAAAAAAAAATAAACCAAAAAACCTAACACATGCATACATACACAATTAAATGTGCATGCATTTTCTATACACATTGACACCGATAAATACATGTACACACATCCAAATACATTGACCTAGACAATCTGATACCACAACCAAGAAATATTCAAGACTGAAAGTGTTATTAAACGAATGCTAACCACTTATTAAAATACAATTTAAACGGGCAAATATACATAGATAAAAATGGTTAAAAATAACATTATCTAATATATAAAAAACGAAAATTCCAAACACACAAATATCCATAAAAATATATATTTTTATCATATAAGTCGATATATGCCTCTATTATATATTAGGTGAAAGAAAATAAGACAATAAGAACTAACTACAGTACAGTCACATATATATACATATATACACATACCCACATACACACAAATATATGTTTTTAATATCTACATATATATATATATATATATATATATATATATATATATATATATATATATATATATATATATATGCACATATGTATATATACACATACAGAAGCAAGTATAAATATATCAACCCACACAGCGACGTAAAAAATAAACAAACCAAATATAAATATATATACATACCTGGACATATATACAAATACACATATACATACATATACACATAAACATACATACACATACATACATATACATACATAAACATATGCATGTATACATATGCGTATATAAATTAAACACACAAACATACATATATACAACACATATACAAACACACGCATATACATAAAAAACATCATACAAACGTAAATTCACCTATATAAACATATATACGCACAAACACATCCATATATATATATATATATATATATATATATATATATATATATATATATATATATATATATAAAAAATGGAATATATATACAGAAACCTATATATATTCTAACAACATTATCTTATTGTCGATAAAATATAGTAAAAAATCATAATTTTTTTAAAAAGTATCCACACACAGTTGTTGATTAAGTCTATAAGCAATTAAAAGATCCCTATCAAACAAAAGTAGATTTTAGTTAGTATCGATGATATATTCCAAGACACTAATGTATATACACATATACATATACTAGGACATACGAAAATACATCCACATATACAAATACTTAATCATGTATAAATACCCGTATCGACATATCTACGTGTACACATATATAAGTACACTCTCATCCACACATATACACATAAATACACACATATACATAGACATATATACACACATAAACATATATATAAATACAAATACATATACACACATATATATATATATATATATATACACTTATTCACACACACACTCACATATACATATATATACATATATACACACAAATACACATACATATACATATATATACAATTACACACGGGGCTGTAGACACAAGCCAAATTTTACATACCTACATATACACACAAACAAGCTCACATATGATAGGTGTCAACACACACATATACACCCACACACATACACACACATATATATATGTATATATAAATATATACATACATATACATACCTATAATAACAAGTACAGATATATACGTACATACACATAAATACACATAAATGCAACCATATACATACATAAGCGTACATACATATACATACATAAACATATATCCATATATCCACACACCCACATACAATTATCCTAACATACATACATAAACATATTCATACATACAGAAATATACGTAAATATAAATATAGATACACAATATAACTGGACATATACATATATATATATATATATATATATATATATATATATATATATATATATATATACACACACCAATATTTTGTAACTTCTTCTCTTCTTCTCCTTTCTATCCCTTCTTACTTTATATATATAAAAAACTACTAATATATATATATATATATATATATATACTCTTATATATACACATATACATCCAACAGTACAAACACAAATACATACGCACAAATACATACACACATATGCAGACACGAATAACACTGTGTAGGTACACAATTTACATTCATATCGTCAGGATGACCATTAGGTTATAAAAGTAATAATCTATTCAACTTACAGCGACATATCATTATCATTGAAAGTATAAGACCCCATATAATAAGTTAAATTTATAACGGTGTTTACAATTAACTGTTAGTTCATATCTTTGATTTAAGAGATCAGTTTTATTTTTAAATCTAATTATTTCAATTTTTTCGTTAAGACATAGTTAACATGCAGCATATAGGGAGTTACATGTTCAGGCTTTCTTAATCAATTTCCATTTAACCGTAGGTGTTTTGTTCTTTTCTTTTAGACTCCAAAAATACTTGGATAATGAAGTCGTGTACTTATAGTTAATGTTATTAAAAGATTGCATATGCCCCCGACAACGTTCCTTGAATGGTTTCATGGTGCTACCAATGTAAAAAAAAAATTATATTTGGATTTTCTAGTGTTGAGATTGTACTAAGATAAACTACAGAACTAGTCATTCAATTATTTTTTAGTGGACAATTATTAGGATTCCTAAAATTACATAAGTTGTTATTCGTGTTATTATACTTAGTATTGCTGTTTGCAACCTGTTGAGTAATCGAGCCTTTTGAATCCCTATACTTGTTAAAGACTCTGTTGTTATGTTTTTTAATTATTTTCTCTAGGTTATCTGCACAACTATAGCTTAATTTAAGTGTATTAGACTTAAATATTTTACTAAGTGGGTTAGTTTCAGGGTTGGGTTTCTTGATTAGGTTTATAAATAGACGTCCTAATTTAGTTTTAGCCATTATATTGAAAGGGGGAGTAAACCAGATGACCTTTCTAGGTCTTCTTTTCTTATTATGGTTGCAATTAACAGGTTATTTTATATTGAATAGTAGTATCTTTGTATCCACTATTTTTGAGTGTAGAATTGTAAAAATCCCGAGGTTTATTAGAAACATATTTGTTAGAAGAGTTAGTGCTAATTCTAAATCCAATGGAAGAGGGTATGTGTTTGATGACTGAAAGGGTATGGTTGGAATTTGGATGCGCGTATATTGGGTTGGAATTAACCTTCACATATGGTTGGAAAATGTTGCTAGCAAGGTCTAGGGTGACGTCTAGAAAATCCATTTGTTTCACATTAGTTGTAACTTTTGTCCTAAGACCTAAATCCTTAAATACCATATGGATCATTTTCCTAATACGGTCTACCTTAATTTTAGTGGAGTTTTTAACAACTAATAATCCATCATCTCTATACAATCCTACACTATCAGAATCTAAACAATCGAAGGCACTTTAAATATATATATATATATATATATATATATATATATAGATAGATAGATAGATAGATAGATAGATATAAATATATATATATATATAGATAGATAGATAGATAGAGAGATAGATAAAAATATATATATATATAGATAGATAGATATGAATATATATATATATATAGATAGATAGATAGATACATACTGGAAGTAAATATTAACCTCATAAAGTGAAAGACGGGATGTAATTAAAACAAGATGAAAAGACTTTACGCATTGAATCAATTCTTCAAACGAAATATCATTTGATGTGGGATATCAAGAGAGAGCTCAGAATCCACCATTATTCTTATGATTTTACAGTAATATTTACATTTTTTTTTCTTGGTAATGCTTCCGCTCGAAGCAAGACAATATTCCAAGACTTCGAGAAAGAAACTTGAAACGTTCAACATACGTGAAATATGAAGATGCATTCAATAATTCTTTTGTCAGCACACGAGCAAAATCTGCAAACTTTGAAGCAAAGAATTATCAAAGAGCGCATAGTATCTCTGGAAATATATACTTTTGCATCCCCACACCCTGAAGACAGCCCCCACCCCACAGAATATCTTAATAGATACACGAGATGATCAGTAAATGCGTAACGTAAATATCGTTATTAGCTGAATATTCGTCTAATATTTTCATTGATATATATATATATATATATATATATATATATATATATATATATGAATTAGGCATGGTGGAGTAATGGAAAACAACTTGGATTGAGTCGAATCCATTACATTCACTTGCGTGCTAATACCATTGGGAAAGGTGTGAATCCTCTTCTTCTCCCTCCACCGATGGGTAA